AAAAAAGTTCAAGTTAGACTTGAATTTTTTTGGCTTGAGTCGCGTTTTACGCGCCTCTCTCTCTCTCTCTAACTCTCACGCTCTTCTCTTTCCTCCTTGCTTTACCCTCGTCTCCTTCTTCCTCTGTTTAGCGGATCACAAATTATTTTGCAGATCGTCCCTCCCATCACCCCAAACTTCCTTTGCGAAACCCTCCTCTCTCTACACCCAATGGCCATGGCCCTCGATCTCTCCATTCTCCTCATAGGCAACAACTTCATCAAGAAGAAGAAGAGTATGAAGAAGAGGATGAGGAGGAGGAGGAACTAGAGAGAGAACACTAGACACTCTGAAGAAGAAATTTCCGAAAGTTAGGGTTTTGGGTCTAGAAAGTGCATGTCCGGCGTCTGCAATTCATGGTTTCTTTCCACAATAATACAAGTTGGGGTTATCAGAATTTCATCAATAATGCTGGTTTCATTCAGGATCTTTGCAATTTAGGGTTTTCATAGCTAAGGGGATCAGAAACCTTGGGACTCTGCATCATCAGGGTTTTACATATCTGGGCTTCTTGACTGGTTTTTGAATTTTTATTTAAGGTCTCTACAATTCAGGGCTTTTTCAACACAGGCTTTCTGGAAGTTAGGCCTTCCATCAATGGCTGAGCATTTGGCTTCAATATTTGGTATAGAGAAGGACATAGTTAACTGCCCATTCTATTTCAAGATTGGAGTTTGCAGGCATGGTGATTCTCGTCTTCGTAATCGACCAACCATAAGCCCCACGCTCCTTCTCTCTAACATGTATCATAGAGTTAACCAAGTTTGGTCTTCATAATCGACCAGCCATGGAACCCCAAAAACTCCAAAAACACTGAAGATTTCTACGAAGACAAACACGAGGCATTAAGCAAGTTTGGTGAAGGTTGCTGCAAGGTTCAAGCAAGGGCTTGGTTATTCTTATGGTGAATCAACTTTCCAAGCCTCTTCTCATTCTTCTCTGAGCAATTTTGTGAAGGCCACAAACACAGATAAATCATTGGAAGATTCAAAGCAGAAGCAGTCTTGTGAGAAATTGTGAGATATGCCAACAGATTTCACGCTCCATCTCCAAAATTCACTCCCTTGTGCAAAACCCATTACAGGAATACTATCAGGGCACCACATTTTGCTCTACAACCTATAGACCAGCTAAAAAGAGAGGCAAAAAAAGAAAAGAAAAAAGAGAAACGCTCTCTATATTTAGCCAAAGAATGTCCCAAGAGTGCCCATTTTGGACGTTCGGTTCTAACTATTTAATAACTCAGAATCCAATGTCTCTGTTTTTTTTTAAAAAAAAAATTATCCCAAAATTTCACTTAAAAAAAAAAAACTCATGACTAGCTTTTTAATCCGAGGGAGCAAGTGTACAATTTCCTCTCATGAGAGCATATAAGGCTGCCACCGGGCCGGTGCGGCCCAGGCTCGACAAAAGCCAAAAAAACAGGCGCAGCCCAAAACCTGCTTTATTAAAGCCTGGCCTGTCCCGGAAGTGCGTTTTGGGCTGGCCCAAATATAGGCGGCCCAATTAGAAGCCTTTTGTTTTTTTAAAGGTTAAGGTTTGTATAGAGCCGAAGCTCAATCAAAGTGAAGCACACCTGCAAATAGTGTTGAGAAATGTGGTTTCAACACTGAAAATCTTTGTGATAGCCTTAAAATATATTTATATTTTTAATTATAAAATTTAAAGCTTAAAAAATAGGGTGGATCAAGCAGATCAATGAAAACTTGAAAATCTTAAAAAATTAATGGTCCAAAAAATACGTTACAAGATGCAATATTTCCAAAACTTGAAATTCATTTCTCTCATGTCCATGCATGTTGATGTCAAGATGATCAATTTGGGGATATTTGGCCACCAAAACAACCTCTTCTACTGAAATTTTTGAGGTAGGTTCTAATTTGTGTTTAGAGCCTCGGCTCTATATAAACTTTTTCCTTTTCTAAATCTCTTAAAGCTAAAAAAATGTCACACTTTCTATGCGGCCAGTCTGCATATTGTAGAAATACAGACTTGGCAATAAATATATTTCTTAAATATAATTTATTCTTTATTTTTATATAGTATATAATATTTAACATGGAGAATGAAAACTAAAAATAATAATTATATTAATAAAACATTTGAACTGTTAATTACAATTGTTTTTAAATGGACCACCTATTTGCATCCATCTTTAAGATGTATATTTTATACCTCTAGGCCGTGTAGGTTGTAGAAATGTTGTCCAACTTGCATGAAACGATTTTCCAAAAAAGAATTCTACAAAGAAATTATACTAAAATAACTGGTTTGAAAATTTTAAAAATAAAAAATGTTAGGAAATGAAAAGTATTTACTAAAATAACTGGTTTGAAAATTCCCCACCCCCACCATCCCCTCTCTCTTTAAAAATCCACCTCCGCTCTCTTAAAAGAAAAAAATATTGAGTCAACGGACTCACTAGACCGCACAATCACAAATTCTTTTTCAATGGTTAGGAAAATATTTTTCAATCGATAGGAAAATATTTTAATATTTTATTTTATTATATTTAATTTCTTATAGATCACTACAAATTTGAATCCAAGATCCATACAAATAATGGGCGTTCAAGGGAGCTGCATGAAAATAGTATGATCCAAGATCCATACAAATAATGGGCAAGGGAGCTGCATGAAAATAGTATGAGTTGAAGGACTCATAAAAACCGGGTCGAAAATAAAAAAATGAATCATTTTCCTTAAAAAAATTTGAGTACATTGAAAATAAATCCATTTACTTTCTATCGCTATCTTTAGAACCAAGGTTTCTCACCCCCACAATCCTCTCACTCAGAACCCATTCTCCCTCTACGTAAAATAAGACCCATTTTCTCAAACTTTCTTATCTCTCTCTAGTTTTCTTCTCCACAGTCGTAGAGAAAGCCCGGAACGAGGTCACTTGCATTAGTTGGAAAAGAAAACAGCAACATGTTAAAAAAATTGATGGAATATATTAGCAGATATGTTTGCCTGCAAAGAGAGTGAGTGAGAGAAGGCATGGGCAACTTGCAAAAAGGGGCATGCATGGATCTGGGAACACGGCAAACAACGCATAAACCCCTCCCATCATGACAGAAATTAAAATAAATCCTTCCCTATTCTTTTTTCTTTCTTTCTTTGATTTTCTCTCTCAACATTTTTTTTGTCTTGCACTCAGGTTTGTTTCCATTGGATTGACACCAGAAAACCTCTCAGAGATTACGAAGGTGGCTACTACAGTCAGTAAATATTTTCTACTCTCTTCTCTGCAATTCTGTTCGATAAAACAAAAAAATAAGTTTTAGCTAGAGTGGAAATCTATTGGTATCACATGAAACTAAGTAAAGCTTTTTGAGACAGAGAGATGCAGGAGAGGGTGTGAGAAAGAGAGACCCACTTCTCTTGTTCCTACAAAGAGAGAGAAACTAAAAATTTTGGGCCTCAGGCTGGCTCGTTAAAAGCCCGTCCAGAGAAGAGAGAAATTTTTTGGGCCATTTTGGGCGGGCACGTTAAAAGCTCGGCCCAGCACTGAAGCCAATTTTCGGTGTGAAACGAGACTGGAAATGGCCTGAAATTGCAGTCCGGTTTGGAAGCCCGATGCCCAACCAGAGCATTGGCAGCCCTAGATATGATTTTTATTATTAAACGAAATTGAAACAAAAAATTAGAGTGCTCGCCCAGTTTTCGGAGCTTGAAACATGATTGAAAAATAAAAATTGATTTTAAGAAGTTTAGTGAGTGTCAAGCTTCATCAATGCAAGTCGGTTTTTCGACACATTTATCTAGGTTGGTCTCTCTCTCTTGGACCATTTTTAGATTTGTGCCTTCTTTGCACAGTGACCATGCTAATTTTCTATGTATCATTCCAATTCTAACTGATGTCTCTGAAGAGACATCTCTCTCAATCAAAATTGATGCTAATTCAAGTATCGTATGATCACCTCTCTCTTTCTCCCTCTTAAATGGATACTAATTCAAGTATCATATGGACAACCCCTCACTCTCGTTAACTAAAAACTCCATCGATGTGGAATTTTTTATGTACATCGAGTATGGACTACATTGAGATTGATGTATGGTTGGAAAAAAATTGCAATGAAAGAAGGCAAAAACCAGTTGCACAAAAAATAAGGCCCGACAAGGCTCACCATGAAACGAACTTTACAAAAAGTGGCCCCTGATTACACCCAATAGCAATGGTATCCAAGAACCTCGAACTTCATATAGCCCGCAGAAATTACGGGCTCAAGTTCTTCTAATTCTCATAATCAACCATTTTCAATCAAGGGCGACGCAGTTTGAAAGTACCCCTACCTCGCTAAAAATCAGAATCATCGTTTCTTTCCCTGTTAACATGACCTTTTTGTTTGAAATGCAATGTTGAATCTCGTCCATTGCTGATCTCCACACCCATGGTACAGTTTTTCCACCATGAGATAACATTAGCTGAATCCCCTTCGATTATCACTCATTATATTATGTGATAATCACAATATTTGTATCCAAATTTTATGTGGTGGACGTTAGCCAAAACCAACTTTCCTGCTTCCAAAGACTTCCAGAAAAACTAGAATATTTTGAACCTGGACACGGTTAACGACACCGCACATCGCTAGGCCCATTGGGATTTAGCAACGGGCCCTGCATTGTGGGACCAGATCAGCCTTTTGTTGGTCTAGTGAAACTTACTGGATCCAATAGTGGTGATCTAGTCCACAAATTTTCTAAAAACTCTTTCCGTCAAAATTTCAAGTGGGGTGTTTACATTTTTTATTTGTGAAAGAGAATGTCTGCTGCCCATTGATGTTGACAATTGCCGAACCACAAATATTTGTACTATGCTTATCTTATTTTTCTATTCAATTTTTCTTTCCCTTTTTTCACTGGTTTTTATCCTTTACGTCGCTATATATAGATTTTGAATTCAAAGTGGGACTTGGTCACATGATGCACGTTTGACTGAATATCCTCACCACTATGTTATCGCTGTTCAATCCGGTCTACTACCATAGTCCTAGAAAGATGTTATACAACAGTAAAATAGTGAAGCTTAAGTTGTTGAAACTTAAATGGGGTAAGACAAATAAGTATCTTTTACCCTTCCTCAGGTCAAGAATTCAAGATGCTCAAATTCATTTGTGATAAAAAATATCTCACATACATGAAAAATCGAAGGGAGCAACGCAAAACATAGTACACATCATTTGGGTGAAACCTGTGACATGATCCAATGAATCTGGACATTTGTAAAGAACAGCAAACACAAAACCATATCAAACATCAGGGACGATACGAACAGTTATGAGTAAAGAAATTGGAAATGTATATGATGAGACCATTTACTTTTGATACAAGAAGGTCACAATCATTGTTAACCGTTGGATGTGAAATCGAATGGGTCGTGATGCATCACTAATTGAGCAAAAAGTCCGAAACAAACTTCTTGAAAGCTGTGATACATTTTAAATTGTTAGATTTCACATCCAAGGGCTAAGAAAAGTTGTGACCCCGTACTAAAAATAAATGGTGTCATAGTATACAATCCCAAAAAAAAATGTGTCTAGAAGGGCAACTACTTATGTCCTGAGTATCAACTAAAATAATTCAAGAGCATTGAGAAAGAAGAAATAACTGCCTATGAATGTGCTGCATTTATGTATTTGGACTACATAGAGGAGTGAAAAACGAGATGCATGAACTGGGGCATACAGTAGTGGTCCTATTGGATAGTTAGAAATGATGCTGCTCGTGCTTCCATGGAGAGGAGGCA